TTAGCTGCTTTTCCTGTTTTTGAAAGAAGAAAACAAGGGCGCTCAGTTAGAAATCCTGGCAAACCGAAATATATAAATCCACCTTTTCCGTGTGTTTTTGGTGCAAATATTTCATAAAGAATTATGGCGCACGGAGTATATGACAGGTTTATTTATTTGCTTTAGTCTACCTCTTTGGCTTGCGCACTGAAATTCCATGGCTAACCATAAATTCTCTGTTGAATTAAGAATATCAGAAGAGTCCTGCATTGTTTTTGCAAGTGTCCAAGTCAAATGCCTCTAACAAGCAAGGTATGGGTGTGATGCCCTGGCTAGCTACTGTTGCGTGTCTCCAGTATTGAGCATCACTGCATCCTCATTCCAGGTTTTTTTTAAGCATCTGAAGAAAGTACAACAGTGTGGCCTCTTGTCTCAAGTTACACATGTGCGTAAAACAGTGGTTCACAAAGGTGTGGCATGCCTTTGAAGGTGACTCGGAAACTGCAATTAATCCAGAATGCGGCAGCTAGACTGGGGACTGGGAGTGGCCGCTGAGACCACATAACACTGAGAGATCTACACTGGCTCCCAGTACATTTCCGAGCACAATTCAAAGTGTTGGTGCTGACCTTTAAAGCCCTAAATGGCCTCGGTCCAGTATACCTGAAGGAGGGTCTCCACCCCCATTGTTCAGCCCGGACACTGAGATCCAGCACCGAGGGCCTTCTGGCCGTTCCCTCATAGCGAGAAGTGAGGTTACAGGGAACCAGACAGAGGGCCTTCTTGGTAGTGGCGCCTGCCCTGTGGAACACCCTCCCTTCAGATGTGAAGGAAATAAGCAGCTATCTTCTCTTTAAAAGACATCTGAAGGCAGCCCTGTTTAGGGAAGTTTTTAATATTTAATGCTGTATTCTTTTTAACACTTGATTGGAAGCCGCACAGAGTGGCTGGGGAAACTCAGATGGGCGGGGTATAAATATTATTATTATTATTATTATTATTATTATTATGCCACACTGGCGTAGCAAGAAGATTTAAGGACATTCAAAGAAACATTTAAACATTTCAGTGTAGTACGGTATCAAAATAATTTGTTTTTATTTGCCGAAGGTTGATAGGTATCTTCTTATAACGACAGCAAGCGCATCAAGGTCAATCCTTTTGTGATCCAGAATCGCCATTCAGACAAAGCGCTGGAGAAGACTCATTTATAATTGTGTTTTGGGAATGATTCATGTTCTTATGCATTGCTTTATACTTTCTGGGTGTCCTGTGAGCATATTATAAAGTACTTGTGTTTTGTGCTATAAATCAAACACTGCTGGGAGTTGTTTTTTGTTTTGTTTCCCAATGTATTTCTTATGAATAAAAAAAATGGTGTGGTGCAAGCAAATTTTTATTTTCAAAGTGTGGCCCAGAGGGGGAAAAGTTTGAGAACCACTGGCGTAAACAGTCTATTGTGTTGTGGGTGCAGGGGGTCATTTTAAAATAAGAAGAGGAGGAGACCCAACTCACTAGGACAGCACATCCTTTGCACATGTAAGGTCTTGAGTTCAATCCTTGCTATCTCCAGTTAAAAGGATCAGGGAGCAGTTGATGAGAATGCCCTCTCCCTGGGACTAGGGAGAACAGCTGCCAGTGTTAGAAACTGAGATATGAAAGCTAGGAGCATTATGGGCCTAGGTTACGGGCGTCACAACTGAGTGTCTAGGCACACTCTTATAGCCAGAATACAAAGCTGAAAATGAATGAACTGCAGCTAAAATCTTACGTTCATTTTTCTCATGGTCTGGTCCTCATCTGAAGACTGCAAAAACAAACAAACAAAGCCATACTTCCCCATCCCACCCCCCAATATTGTCAAGAGGGTCTCTTCTCCAGTCTTCAGAGAGTGGCTGGAAGTGGGGAGGCAGAAAAAGGCCCTCCTTTCCTTCCACTCTGCAGTTTTAATCTGAAATCTTAGGTGCAGTACTGCGCCCAGAACTCAGAAACTGCTCGCGCTAATGAAATTCGCTGTCGCAAAACGCGCCTAGAACAATGAGAATTTTGAACGCTGCCAGTAAGAGTGGCCAGTACTGGAAAAATAGTCTGGCCTGCTGTAAGGCAGTTTCCTATGTACTGGGTAGGAGAGGAACCTGCACAAACATATTGGAAGTACAGTGGTACCTCGGGTTACATACACTTCAGGTTACAGACGCTTCAGGTTACAGACTCCGCTAACCCAGAAATAGTACCTCGGGTTAAGAACTTTGCTTCAGGATGAGAACAGAAATTGTGCTCCGGCGGCGCGGCAGCAGCGGGAGGCCCCATTAGCTAAAGTGGTGCTTCAGGTTAAGAACAGTTTCAGGTTAAGAACGGACCTCCGGAACGAATTAAGTACGTAACCAGAGGTATCACTGTATACAACCTTCCCCCCCCCCCCCCCCGCCCCCGTGTCTACAATGTAGAAGTTTATAGCACAATCCCAGGACATCAGTCTGTGGCCAGGAGATCTGCTGCCAGTCAGTGTAGATGATGCAGGCATTTCCCCACTTAACGAGCATTCGACTTGCATGCAGTCACATAGACGTGTAGCACCAGTAAATAATTACCGTTATTTTTCCAAGACTAGGGTTTTTCCCCTTTAAAATGTCAAAAATTAGGGGGCGTCTTATACACGGATACATCTCCTCCCATTTTCATAAATCTGAGTCCCCCAAAATAGGGGGTATTTTACACATGAGGGAGTCTTATAGACTGAAAAATACGGTATATAATAATTAAATTGCAAAATGATGCAAAAAGGGCCCAAAATGAGTGGGGAATCTGCCAAAAAATAGTGAGAAAAGAGCAGGAAAACAGCTAGCAATCCCAGGGGCCTTTGCAGCTGCAATCCCATAAGCCTTTGAAGCTTGTTGAGAGTTGGGAGTTGAGAAAGGAGGACATTTAATGGCTTTTGAGGTGGCATTCCCAACTACAGTGGATGCTCAGGTTGTGAACGTGATCGGTGCGGGATGCACATTCATAGCCCACAGCGGCGCGTCTGCACACGCGCGGGTTGCAATTTGGTGCTTCTGCGCATGCGCAAAGCACGATTCAGAGCTTCTGCACATGTGCGACCGTCGAAACCCGGAAGTAACCCGCTCCAGTACTTCCGGGTTTCGGCAGTCAGTAACCCCAAAAAAGCGGCTGTAACCCAAGATATGACTGAATATGCAATTTCACGTATATGCACAGTACCTAGGAACTTAACCCCCGAGTTAAGTGGGGAGGTGCCTGTATACATGAATATATATTTATTGATTTAACACAGGTGCCTCAGAGGATCTTACGCAGAGATTGTGCAAAGAAGGTAGAGAAATTACTGAGTCGCCACATATGTTAGGACAGCAACCTCCTACAGAAAAATCTAAGCAGCGTATGTCTATTTCGATGGCATGCAGAACTTAATGGGCTGTGTTCCCACAGAAGCTTGTCTTTAAAGGAGGGCACTATTTTATTTTATTTTATTTTATTTTATTTTATTTTAAAAGGTAAAGGGCACTGAAGAGGAGCAGGGCACTGGATGTGACATTCCCTTGCAACCCACACCTGTTAAGAAGGAAGATGAAATTAAGTCCAAGTAGCACGTGTCAGTGCTCTAAGCCCAGAGGGAAGTGTCAGATCAAATAAGGAGAATGCAAAGCTCTTTAACAGAAAGGAAAAAAAGACTTTATTCCTAAAGTACTTTGACACGCACAGGCTGCTCTTTTCTCTTCAGATCTGCCTCCTCTTTCGATAAGGTTTTCCCGCAACTCCTCCACACCCTCCGCAGCATTCATTTCTATATTTGCATTATTCGGTGGCATTTGTGGGCAGCCTCAAGACAGCCCCGTCGGCCATTGCATGCAGGCCTGGCGCAATGGGGCAAGGCATGTTCCCATATCCAGCCCCACCTCCAAGATGCTAGAGCCACTGGGGGAACATCCCTGAAAGGGCCCCAAACCATCTCGGCTGCTTTGGGGACCTTGATAGTTTTGTGAGCACATCCTTGACTCTTTGCAAGCATCAAAAGTTTCCTATTCCTGCCCAGTCCTTATTAGGCTCAACACTAAGACAGCACAGCAATCTGCGGAAAGCCAATAGGATTCAGTACTCTGTCCTTGCCAAAGGCCCAACTCCTACCGGAGACCTGAAGGAGTATTAGCACACAAAACTGCACCTGATGTTTTCCCCACCCAATGCCTGCACTGATTGTTCATCTAGCTCCAAAACAGTGAATACTACAAGCCAGTGGGGTGAGTGGTGGCGGCGATGATGACTCCTTCTTTCTCTTTCTTCAAGACATCTGCAAGCAGGCTTTGGAAGCACTTCCAGCTGTATCCCCGTTTATGCTAACGAAACCCACATTTTGGATCCCTGGTGATGGAAGTGGAACATTTGCGGTTTCTGCCTTGTTGATCAAAACATACCAGATGCACTACTATATCAGCATGGGATAGTGCAGCCTTCCTCAACCTGTGGGTCCCCAGATGTTGTTGAACTACAACTCCCATCACCCCTCGCTAGCAAGGCTCAGGGATGATGGGAGTTGCAGTCCAACAACATCTGGGGACCCACAGGTTGAGAACCGCTGGGATAGTGCATGGATGGAAAATGGCTCATTTAAGATCGCTACCTAGGTAGAGAAAAGGGACGCGGGTGGTGCTGCGGTTCAAATCCCCATGACGGGGTGAGCTCCCATTGCTCAGTCCCTACTCCTGCCAACCTAGCAGTTCGAAAGCACGTCAAAGCACAAGTAGATAAATAGGTACCACTCCGGCGGGAAAGTAAACGGCGTTTCCGTGTGCTGCTCCGGTTCGCCAGAAGCGGCTTAGTCATGCTGGCCACATGACCCGGAAACTGTACGCCGGCTCCCTCGGCCAGTAAAGCGAGATGAGCGTCACAACCCAAGAGTCGGCCACGACTGGACCTAATGGTCAGGGGTCCCTTTACCTTTACCTAGGTAGAGAGATGGTTTAAACACAATGATTTTGCATGCCAACCGAGTTTATTTAAACCTCCTACCTTGCACCGCTGATATCGACTCCGACCATCAATTGTCCATTCAGCGAAAGGATCTCATCTCGCAAGCGAACCTTTCCACATTTCCCCGCAGGGCTGTTTTTCTTTAAGTCAGTGACCCAGATGCTTCCGACGTCCAGCACAGGACCCTTATGCCCCTTCCTCTTCCTCCCCACTCTCCTCTTTTCACCATAGTCCCCCAGAGCAGGGATGTTCCCAAAACTTAGGCCGAGCGCCTCTGTCTTTCCTGGATCCTTGCTCAGGTATAGTGTGCAGATCTCCATATCCACAAAACAAGTACCATGTTGCAGTTTGGCCTCCTCTATTGGGAAGTTGAGCTGGATGTATTCCCTTAGCTTCTTAATGGCAGAGTGGCAAAGTCTGTGTTCTGGCTCCTCCACGTCCTCCTTCAGATGGTTTTGGAGCCACCGGTAAAGGATGGGAAGAAACAGCACGGCGTTCTCCGGAGTGATGGGCATTGTGGCCACGGCAGGGTCCCATTACGTGATGAACTTGTTCCTGGATTGGGTGGTCGAGATTTGATCAACGCACCTTTCGGGATCAAGGTAGTTCTGCGCTTCATCAGCCGCCATACTGAGGGAAACCGAAAGTAAGGGAGGGAGCCCGAAGTAAAATAATAGGAATGAAAAAGTTCTCTCTTTTCTGCCGGTTTAGCCAAAGATAACAGAGCAGGCTTTTTAATTAAAAAGAATGAACACAATGGCTCTGGAGAATTCAGCGAGAAGAGGAAGGAAGCAGAGGTTTGGCTCTTTCCACAGCTGTCCACACAGAAATCGCTCAAGCACTCGCTGCTCCACCAGCAGAGACCATAATTGCTCCTCCGCATTCATCAACACCTGCTTGACCTAGAAAGGGGGAAACAACACAGTTAAAACCATAATTCTCACTCTCAAATAAAGGATTTGAGAGCTGTCTGCAATGCTCATTAATGAGAAAGCTTTCCTTAACGTTATTCTCTTTTCTCGTTAATTCTATAATCTGTTTTTCTATTCATTTGTGTGTTTTTAAAATACACTCTTGGGTTATCAGTCATGTTCTGGAAAGAGTACAGAAGAGGAACACGAGCAGGAATACAAGGAAATGTTTATACAATGGTACCTCGGGTTACATACGCTTCAGGTTACATATGCTTCAGGTTACAGACTCACCTAACCCAGAAACAGTACCTCAGGTTAAGAACTTTGCTTCAGGATAAAAACAGAAATCGTTCTCCGGCGGCACGGCAGCAGCGGGAGGCCCCATTAGCTAAAGTGGTACCTCAGATTAAATACAGTTTCAGGTTAAGAACGGACCTCTGGAACGAATTAAGTTCTTACCCCGAGGTACCACTGTAGTAGATTTGGGATGTGCAAGGGAGGGGAGATACAGGAAGGGAACAGTTGACTGAGAAAGTGAAAGTCCTTGCACTAATGAGACTTTGAATACAACCCATTATTGTTTTCTCTTTCTCTGAATAATTTTGGCAAAAAAATAAATTACAATTTCCCTGCAAATCTACATTTTCTATCTTTCTTTTCACTTCATATTATCCTCAAATAGCTGAATGAGGAAAGTTTCCAGAAAGCTACCTTTGACCTTGCAAACAGAGATACAGAGGGGTCTTTGAATTGGCACCAAGTCTGGCGCTGAAAGGAGAAGAATAACATCTAAAAGGCGGGCATACATGAAGAAGAACAATGCAACGCTAATATTTCTCAAGATTACTTTATTAAACCAGTCCCAGAGCATTTTGGGATATCCTGATTACATGCAAAGTTTTGTTTCATCCCCTCTAACAAATTGAGCTCTTCCTTCCTTTTACGTCCCTCCCAGCGGAGTATCGAAAGCGTCCTCAGTACCAATTTCCTGGCTTATAGAGAGAGAATTTTTTTAAAAAAGAAGAAAGTAATTACAATGCCCATTGCTGACTCTTCAAGATCTGATTTATTTGCATATGTTCTTCAGATACTATTTTTGAAAGATTGTGTATTAGACACATCCAAAGCTCAGCCCATTTTGACATTGTTTTTTAACGTGTTGTTCACCTTCCTCAAAAGAGCAGGCTGTGGTTTAGCTAATGCTAGAACTTCTAGAAGACCAAACCAGGTGAGACACGATTCACGAAATATAGACATTACATGAAAAGGCTTCTTAAACTCAGCTGGTGGTGCAGGGACAGATAATCTGGATGGGGACCCTGCCATTGGAAGTGAAGAGGACTTGATTTTTTTGCCCTCTGCTGCAGTCCCAACGTGGAGTCAGTCTTCCATGCTATTTACATTGGGGGAAATCACCCACCGAAGCAGATGGCAGTTCCCCCAGGCACACGTCACCCCCAGGCATTCACTAGATTGGGACCACAGTAGAAAGTAAAAGGTTAAGGCTCGTGACCTCGTGCATACCTGGTTCCCAAGCCAAATCAGATGTCCCACCTATGGTTAGATGTAGATGTGGTTCTTCAGAACACTGAACAGCTGAAGACCTCTTTGTGAAGACCTCTTTGCAACCACAATACAATATTTGCATTTACTCCATCATCACAGATTTGCTAATTTTGTCAAAGGAAGATTTGCATGTGATCACTCTTAGAACTTAAACATGAGGAATCTGGAAATATTAGGGATCAAAAAAGTTCTGGCACATCTGCAAATGTGCTCAATTCTTTTCCCAAGCCCGTCCTGTGGGAAAAGTTCACAATAATAAAGTTGCTTAGGAAACAAAAACAAAAAAAAACCTCAACCCTTACGGATTTCTTCCAAGGGCTCATGAATTCTAATTTCAAAACATACACCGAGGGCTTAAGTTTCTGGTGATTTTTTTCAGTCTGAATTTTACGTATGACAAAAATCTGAATACAGAACTTTACATAGGATCATGGACACTTTTCAGTGAGGGAATCAAGAAAACACCTGTGGAGGCATAGAATACACTGGTTTTAAATCAGGATGTGGAAATGGAATGGTGGCATTGTTTTGTTTTAATTTTGTTTGCACTGTATTTTGTGGCAATGCTGGGGCAATTGACCATGCTGGCAATTTTAAGGATTTGGGGTGTTTCCCACTTGTGCTTTTTATGCTGCTCAATTGCTGTTTAGTTGTGTAGTATAGCCTGCCACTTTGTGAAGGTATTTGCTTTAAAATTGGGATATAAATCTACTAATTAGATGTCTCAATTAAATCTAAAGGTAAAGGGACCCCTGACCATTAGGTCCAGTCATGACCGACTCTGGGGTTGCAGCGCTCATCTTGCTTTTTTGGCCGAGGGAGCTGGTGTACATGACTAAGCCACTTCTGGTGAACCAGAGCAGCGCACAGAGACGCCGTTTACCTTCCCGCCGGAGCGGTACCTATTTATCTACTTGCACTTTGAGGTGCTTTCGAACTGCTAGGTTGGCAGGAGCAGGGACCGAAAGACGGGAGCTCACCCCGTCCCGGGGATTTGAACCGCCGCGTCCCTCCCAATTAAATCTAGCTTATTATAAATTACATCAACCCAGTCCTTGCAGACATCAAAAATGCCTGAAGACAGTCAGGTTGTGCATCCATAGCAGAGATCAGAAGAAAAATGACCACTGGGGAGCATCTGCAGCAGCACAAGCAGATGCCTTCATCTGCCCCAGCTGCAACAAAGCATGTCTTTCCTGTATCAGTCGCTACAGCCACAGGTGCTGCAACCTTCCAAAGGTTCAACTTCGCTCCCAAAAGGCACACTCCTCCATTGTCTCCCAAGACAGAGGTATGCCAACAAAGTATTCATTACATTTTATTATTATTTTTTATACATAAAGTATCTATAAATGCAATAAACTGGAATTCCACATCAGGTAATTGCATGCCTCCATCACCATCACTGTTACTTGCTTTTCCAAAACCGACTTTCCTTCCTATTCATATCTAGGATACTGATTATAAACCAACTCTTGGGGTCCCTTCCAACTCTACAATTCTATGATCCTATGAAATGCAAGGGGGTTACTTCTTTTTTATACAGTGGAACCTCGGTTGTTGAAAGCTTTGGAAGTCAAACGTTTCGGTTTTGAACACCGGCAACCCGGATGTGAATGCTTCCATTTTCGAACAGCTTCCGAGGCATGTTTCTCCATTCTTTCAATTGATTTTGCTGACCGGCAATTGCGCCTCAGTTGTCAAACATTTTGGAAGTTGAACGGTCTTCCGGAACGGATTACGTTTGACAACAGAGGTTCCACTGTAGTACTTCCAAAATACACACACAAACACACACAAAATCAATCTAAGAGCCCTAGAAGAGGTGTAGTAGATTTTGAAGTGCACAAGTTTGTTCTCATAGCTCCCAGTGTCACTCTCCCAACGAGAGTCAAATAATACATCCATTCTCTCTCTCTCTCTTATACACACACAAATACTCTGGAAAACAGCAGCGCCTAGCATAATACCCAGTCCATTAGGATCAGCATGACTGCAATCCTTAGCATAGTTTCCTGGGCATAAGCTCCATTGAACTCGCAGCTGTTTACTCCTAACCACATAGGTTCTGTCTGTAAAACACACTGAGTTTGAACAAAAGATATTCCGCCAGCTGAAATGAAGCCTTTAGCTTTTAATTAGAAGTGCAAACCACCTTGCAAAGGATAAGCGTTACTATTTATAGGAACCCCGGTCCAAGAACAGAAAGCAAAGTATGCAGGCTTTGCCTTATTATTTTTTCTCATTCTCGCCTCTATGATCCTCTGTCACAAACAATAGTGAAAGTTTAAAGCCTCTTCATCATCTCATTCACTTGCCAGTACACTAGGCTCTGGGAGATGATGTCATTGTTCCCGCTCTGAAAAAAGCCCCAGAGCTGTACTCCCTTGCAATTTCCCCTCTATGGGTGGGGGGGAGAGATTTCAGTCTGAGGACTGCACTCCTTCACATGAGATCTTCTGGGGCCTCACAGAGGTGGTGGGCATGGCTGCAGGGGGCTGGCATCAGTTGGGTAACAGACGTGACTCTTACTTCTTTAAAGCTGGCTAATATTCCAGATAGGGACGCGGGTGGCGCTGTGGGTTAAACCACAGAGCCTAGGACTTGCCAATCAAATGGTCAGTGGTTCGAATCCCCGCGACGGGGTGAGCTCCCGTTGCTCGGTCCCTGCTCCTGCCAACCTAGCAGTTCAAAAGCACGTCAAAGTGCAAGTAGATAAATAGGTACCACTCTGGCGGGAAGGTAAACGGTGTTTCCATGCGCTGCTTTGGTTCACCAGAAGCGGCTTAGTCATGCTGGCCACATGATCCGGAAGCTGTACGCTGGCTCCCTCGGCCAATAAAGCGAGATGAGCGCCGCAACCCCAGAGTCGGTCACGACTGGACCTAATGGTCAGGGGTCCTTTTACCTTTAATATTCCAGATATAAAAATATCAGAGGTTTCTACATACACACCTAAACCTCAGTCCAGGCAAGCAAGATGCACTAGCAACAGTTCAATGACAATTTCCTAGGATGACTGCATGCTGCCTTCT